GTGTGTGTGTGTGTGTGTGTGTGTGGGAAACAGAGAGAGTGAAAGGGTGAAGCGAAGTAGGTGGGGGCAGGGCAGAGTCATAATGCCCCTTTATCTGTGGGACAGAAATGACCAGTGAGACTGAATGAGACAGTGAAAGGAGGGGTTGGTTTTGTGTGTGTGTGTGTGTGTGTGTGTGTGTGTGTGGGATGACCAATAACCCTTTGAGCGTCCTTTGCTGAGCTTGCATTTTGTGAGAACAGACAGACAATGGCCAGAGATCTCATGTCTGTGCAGACTGAAAAGGGAAGAGCTCAAATACACACACACACACTTGTCTCTCTGTGGTTGTGAGGACACTCATTGGCATAATGCATTCCCTATCCCCTTACTCTAACCTTAACCATCACAACTAAATACCTAACCCTAACCTAATTCTAACCCTACAACCAAGTCTTAACCCTCAAATAGCCCATTGAATTTGTAAGGATCAGCCAAAATGTCCTAACAACGTCTAACTGCCCTAACAATGATGAAATTGAACCAAACTTGGCCCTCCCCTGTGCTTCTTGACTGTGTAGAAAACTCAAACACCACAAACAGAAACTCCATTTTCAGATGAAGAGTCTTTTGGTTCTGCAAATCAGTTTGTCTACATGTTCTAGATGGGAACAAAAGCTACAGGTTCTTTTAAAACATAAATGAGAAACATTAGTTGACTTTTCACCGTCGATCCAGGAGCATATATTTTGTAATAAATATCATAAAATAAAAATATTGAAATATTGTTTACCAGACATCAGACCCATATCCTCTAACAAAAACTGAGTCAAAGTCAGCTCATTCGGTTTCACAGTTCACACACAGGAATCTCACTGTGGCGATCACATGCTTTTGTTTACAGCACAGAGACATTGATCACCAAAGACTCTCGAATCTCGTCTTTCCGAGCAAACATCATCGTCTCTTTCTCCTACATGTGTGGCACCTCCTTTCCATATAGTATATAGTTTCATATAGATATTAGTTAGTTTTTGTTTTTATCAGTTTAGCATCTGTCGTGAGTTAGAAATGTCATTAACACACCATTATTGTGAATCCTCCAGATAATCCCCCGCTCTGTTCTCACTCTGACAATCTCTGCTGGCAGGAAAAACTCTGCAGAAAGTCCGCAGCATCTGACTCAGACATTTGTGTTCTTGCATACTGTACATCCCCTCCAGATAATACCAAGAGATTATCTGGAGTTCAGTGCAGGTCTGAAAACTTTTTAAAATCTATATTGATAACCCTTATGTTCATTGAGCTGGAAACTGGGCTACAGGTGCACACATACACACACTCTTATCTCCACTCACCTGTGGGGCTCCGGGTGTGTCCAGGACCAAGTCGGGCAGCTCTCTGAGAAGTTTGTCAAAGGAGTTTTCCACGTCACCATGTGACAGAACTGGTCCACATAAGTCAGCCAACAGCCTGGAGGTGAGCTCCCGTTGGCTGGCTTTAGCCTCCAGGGCCAGTGACACAGCCAATGAGGGCACCTCACTGCACATGGGCCCCAGGTTCAGTTCTGCAAGTAGCTCCTGGACATGGAGAGAAGCGTTAACTTGTTAAAAGTGAACCGTCTTTTAATTATTGTTACTTTTCACAGCTCTTTGTAAAGCATGACGTTGTGACACTTACAGCCACTTCATTTGTGTCGCCATGTTCAAAGTACTCCTGCACTATGGGGGCAACCGTCTTCTCAAAGTCCCTCTCTTGCAGTGGAAGGACCACAGTCTCATACACACAGTTTTCCTGTCAAAACACAATCACAATCAGTCTCTTTTGTCAATTGTATCCATTGCATAGACAAATAATTGAAACTATCTACAATGCGGTAACATTTACTTACAGTACATGTTATCATCTACACAATAAAAAGTCTTTAAAATGAAACATAAGCTCCAAATGAGAGATGAGTTTAGTGGATTTTAGTGTTATGTGCTCATTCTATTGAAATGACTCAACACTGCAGTTGTTACCTGGGCTTCGTCATAGTTGGGGTCCTTCTCATCCACCTGCTCCT